GAGCCTATAAGGCGAAAAGGCTTGTAGCCTGGTAACCTAATCGGGTATTAGCCGAGCAGAAGGTCAAGTCGAATTTTTACCTGGACGGTACACTAGCCCTCCAGCCTTGAGCGTGTAAGGCGAGAAGGCTTATGGTAGAAAGAGAGTCAGCAAAGCCATTACCGACCTATCCCTCGTCAACTATTTGATATGACCTCTAGTTGTTGCTATTTTGCTGCGAGTTGAATGATTGTGTGCTGAAAAATAGATCATGACGATGGTGCAAACGCCAGGTGAAAATTTCTCTAAGCTAAATATTGGAGTTGCAAAAGAATCGGCCAAATTCCGATTACTGAAAAAGTGAATATTTTTTCTATGCTGAAACTGGTTCTGCAAATGAGTCGGCCAAATTCCAATTACTCTAAAAAGTGAATATTTTCTCTGTTGAAACTGGTTTTGCAAATGAGTCGGCCAAATTCCGATTACTGAAAAAGTTTACATTTTCTAAGTTAAAATTGATTTCGCGAGACCAACGGCCAAACACGACTATAGAAAAGGTAAAATCGATTTTTGCATGAGGCGGTCGCCTACCCGAAGGTTTCATACGCGGTTCTTAAAAAATTAGTGAAAAAACTCATAGTTATGAACTCGTGATATTGTAAGTAAGGAGTCAGGCGAACGCCGACTCACTCCCCATGTATCCCCACAATTCTGAATTAGCATGACAACGAAAGATTCACTCCGTTGGCAATTATTTATAATATAAAAGTTGTCGGCCAGATACCAAAGAGATAACCACGGTTCGCCAAAATAAATAAATAATTTCAGTGGGACGAAATTGTAAGTTGGATGTTATTCTGGGAACAAAATGTTCGGCTAAAATCCGAATAAGGAAAAGGGGATAGATAATTCTAAATTGAAAAGCTTACTTGAGCCAAATAATCTGTCCAATTCCAGTTTAATGAGAAGGAACAAACAAATCTAAGTCGGACGCCACCCTTGAATGACGTTATTGTCAAGATTTCGATCATTACTTCAACGTGGAATATTGAGCAATAAAATAATGATCTTTAACCGTGTAATCGGCAAATTGTCGACTCAAAATATTGAAGAAATTTTCTAGAGTTTGGAATGAGATTTATCCGTATGATCGGCCAAATGATGACTAGCAATAACGTGGCAAATATAATTTGTTTGGAAAAACTTAACCATAAGATCGGCAAAGTGCCGACTTGCAATAATATGGGGAGTATATGATTCAATAAAAACTCAACCCTATGGTCGGCTAGATGCTGACTCGAATGTAGAATTTAATTGTATGGTTAGCAACAGTAATATGGGAAATATCTAATTCAAAAGGAAACTCAACCACTTAATCGCCCCAAATGCCGATTCGCGTATTTGAAGAGAAGTTTATATTTTTATCATGAAAAATATCTTTATCATGAAATTTTATCCATGTGGTCGGCAATGAGCTAGAATTCAAATCAAAATTAAGATGTAATTATATGAAAGGATCGGTCAAATTTCGATTCGTAGTCTGGAATCGTCCAAACTCCGGTTAAATTTTATCCATGTGGTCGGCAATGAGCTAGAATTCAAATCAACATTAAGATGTAATTATATGAAAGGATCGGTCAAATTCTGATTCGTAATTTGGAATCGTCCAAATTCCGGTTAACAATGGTGGGTCGAGTTAGGAATCAATCTTGAATCATAAACTGTCTTTGAGTTACTTATACTCGCCCATTCGGATGTTTACCGATCAATCACGAGTTTCATCCATCGAGTTATTTATACTCGTCCAGCCGGACTATTGCCGACAATCACGAGTTTCATCCATCGAGTTATTTATACTCGCCCAGCCGGACTATTGCCGACAATCACGAGTTCTTCGAGTTATTTATACTCGCCCAGCCGGACTATTGCCGACAATCACGAGTTCTTCGAGTTATTTATACTCGCCCAGCCGGACTATTGCCGACAATCACGAGTTCTTCGAGTTATTTATACTCGCCCAGCCGGACTATTGCCGACAATTACGAGTTTGCCTACAAGTCAGAATCAATTTAAAAATAATGATTTTTATTATTTGATGGTACCTCATTACAGAGCAAAGAAGGATCGAATTTTCAGTCTAGTGGTCGCGTCTGATGTTGGTGTTAAATTCTGCGAGTCTCAGACTCAAAACCTTGTCCCGATCTCTACATTTTCTTCTTTCATCTGAGCTTTCATCACCGAATCCAATTCTAAGATCGAGACGGATTTGCAGCAAAGCCCCTCCGCACGTGCTTGTGTTTAGAAGTTTTGACTTTTTAGTTTGACTTATATTTGGACCTGCAACTCTCAAAAGAGATAAATAGTTATAATAATTGATTATGAAATATAATGTAACACTAAAAAAGATAAAATAATGCATGGTGCCAGTAGGATAATATTTGATGTTATTTGAATATCCCACGAATCATGATTAGTGAACAAATAATGTTGTGATACTTGTTAAAATCCAATGAGCATAAACGCTCAGGCCAAAGCCCCTCCGCACGTGCTAGACCCACATCACTTCATTCGCATTTTCTCCAATGCGAGGATTCACCATAATCATTACGAGTGCGAGCTTGCGTTGGTTTCCGCTCTCAAATACTGTTCTTCTTCCTCTCAGGGCCGCCAACTTCATTCCCAAACATCTTCCCCCCCACCCCCTTTTTTTTTTTTTTTTTTTTAGATGGTCTCTGATAGCGGGACGTTTACCAGGGCGCACAGACAATGAAATTGAGAACTATTGGAATACTTATTTGAGAAAGAAGGTGGAGCAGAATCATAATGCTCATAAAATTCGTAACCATGATGAATCTCCGGGGTGCTCAAAAACCTCCTTGGGAGATCTTGATCCTGCAAGATCCTCACACCCAATGACGATTAAACCTAAATCAATGAGATGTACCAAGGTTATAATGCCAACTCGAGAAGCCAACGATTCAGTCAACGCAATGAATTTGATCACAACGAGCTGGGACAATCAGAACCCTTCTACGCCCATGCCACAAGACCATGTGCGTAATCATTGCTTGACGGATGTTCTCCAAGACTTCGACATCAATGACGTGTTAATGTCGTACGAAGATGATGATTGTCATTTTAATGGATATGCTGAGGCAGGCCGTGTAGACATCGCCAGGGAGTTGTTTGAGAGAATCCCTGTTAAGGATGTGATTTCTTGGGGCGCAGGGAAAGTTTCACCGTAGTCCCATGGTGGGCGCCAAAATGTTCCGGTCACGGGGTGAACTAGGGTTTTTTTCTAGATCAAGCCTTAAAGCCAGAGCATTCAAAAGTGTGATCTGCCTCCTTAGC